CGACGCATTGGTTCGTCCTCCATACAGAGCGTCACGAGGCTCCAGAGAATCGACTCCATCATAATTATCAATGTAATGTCTCATGTCCTCATCATCTGCCAGTTCTCGTTTGATTCCACACTCCCAAACTTCTACGACGTTGTAGCCTTGATTTTTTAAATACTCGGTCTTTTCCGCGGTCGTTTGACGAAGATCATGCATGGTTTTACCTTTGACAGGATTCATCGTGTCGCGAGTGTAACAGTTTATACATCCTTTAAGAAATAATCAAAAATACTATTCTAAAATACTATTCTAAGGGGCGTCTATTCGAGGGAGGCGTTTATTCAAACACTTACCATGCCAGAAACATCCATGAACTTCATAGGCCGTGGGTTTCTTCGTGATAACCGTTCAGCAAATACCGACCAACACGCTTCTCTCCTCCATTACGATTATGCTGTATGTCAATTTCGTTTCGTTCGGCCGTATACGACAACCATTTTTGGGCAAGAAGGGACTGGACGTTCTCGGGACAATAACCGCGTGGTGGGATGATGGCAATGGTGTTCTCTTCAAGGTAATTGGTCCGATACACTAGATTACACGCGGACGCAATGGTAAGGCATTTCTCAAAGGGATCGATGTCGGTGACGTTACGGAACAGTTCGCGAAACTCCAAGCAACAACGCCGTAGAATATCCACATTGGAACGACAATAAGCAAGAATTTCCTCTTTGAAGTTGAACACGTATTCGTTGTCCTTCAAATTTCTATGCCAATCTAAAAACTTTTCTTTGGCCGTTGGACTCATTCCGTTCGGGTTGTAGTAGGGAGTGGGTGGGATCGGTCCCACATAATTTTCATTTTCTTTCTTGTTGAAAAGATGCGGAAAGTACCCTTTTGCGAGTTCGTCGATACCAAAGGTTTTTGGAAAATCTGCTAATCTCATCGGGATAAAGTTCAAGGAGTCGATAAATTTTATCTTGAACATGTCCACGGATAAGGAAAGGACTTTGGCCCCGCGCATGATGACATCGTACTTGACACCGTTCTCCCGTAAGTACTGGAGAATAAAGTAACTGTCGTACCCCTGGAAATTGTGAGCCATCACCACACAATTTGCCCGTTCCTTTTGAAATAACCATTCACAAAACTCGTTCCGTGTGTTATCCCCTTCAAATACCCATTCGTCACCGGCTTCGTTCTGAATCACACATAAATTGGGTTCATGATTTCCATTTTCCTGACGACACTCGAAATCAAAGAATAACATTTGGTCATACCCGCCTTCCGTAACATCATCCTCAGGGTGCTCAGACGAATCGTCACTGTCCGATAAACCTTCGTTTCGTTTTCCCACGGGCTGCATGTAACACCGATGGTCGCCGGGTCGAGTGTACTCTTTACATATTAAGCATTTTGTCATGCCACAATGGTGCGAATCTCTTTTATAACGTTTGATAAGTCTATGACAGTCAGGACATTTAATCATCGTCGCACAGATCGATTTTCCGCTGACTGTTTATGCCGATCGAAACACGCTTGACTTTTGAACATCCGGTTACAATCATTGCAGTGAACCCAAGACTCGATGGGACAGTCGGGAAAACGACAACATTTACAGGCATTCGGGCATAGGTGATCTTCTCGATGATCATAAGCTTTCTTACATGTATGGCACTAGTACGATCGCTCAAAAAACCCTGGCATTTTGGTAATAACGTCGTAATGATTATCGTGAAGATAGAGATAAATTCTCTTTTCCTGATCGGGGCCAGTATAAATAAGAGCGTTCTGATGATCTTTGGACACAATATTGATCTGGTAATTGGAAAGGTACGTCTGAAACTGTTTGACTTCATCCAGTCCACAGGGACCCAAAGGAACGGCAGCATTCTGGTGTAATTCACGAGCCAAACGGGCTTGAAGTGGTCTCTCAGGGTTTCGTATTTGACGATCCCGACTATCATTCTCAATTTTGGCTTTCGCAACGACCAAAGCCCTCGCCAAACAAAGTTGATCATTGTTCCGGATCCGTATGATTGAGCGTTTCTTCATTAAATGCTTTTCCAAATTAATTTCAGGTCGCTTCGTATGCCTGCCTCCATGAGGCATTTCCACATGAACAATATTGACATCCACACTTTCGTTGAGATGAAAATGGCGATTGGATTGGATCACGCGTTCAAACTCTGCCAACACACGTTCCGTAGTGAGACGTTCACGAGGCATAAACGGAAATGAAATAGGATTTTCCAGTTGCGATGAGTGTAGGACGAAACGTACTTGGTCATTGGGAGGAACGCCGTGCGTAACTTCATTAAGCAAGCTTTGAAATATTTCATGCAGCCTTTCATGATATTCGGAAAGCTCCACATTCGCAAATGCATTCGTAAATTGAATACGATAATCCATACCCGTGGTTTTAAACTTTTTCACATTCACTTGTTTCACACTCTGCACCGTAAAAACGTTGTCGCTAACCTCGTTCCCTTCTTGTCCAGGTTCATTATCAACGTTGCTCGTCTCTTCAAAAGATCTTTTCTGTCCGCGACCGACTTGTGGTTCATCGCTGCTCGTCCCTTCACAAGATCTTTTCTGTCCGCGACCGACTTGTGGTTCATCATCATCGCTGCTCATCGCACAAAATGATCTTTTCTCACCTCGATTAATCTGCACCGGAAGCTCTTCATCTTGCCAATCGCGTAAAAACCTCTCGCGTTGTTCGGGCATCCAGGTATCGGTAAGAGTAGGTACTAGTCCTAACCGTGCGTTTTCCAAACGCCATTCCTTTATGCGCATAAAAATCTCCATTTTCTTCTCAAACACCAAACGTTCCTCAAATTCGCTTAATGCGGCCTGATTTTCCAAAGCCAAAAGCTCCGCTATCGTTTGACATTCTTTAATCTTTCTCCCCATATCTAAACCAAAAAACGATTCGCTCAAACAAAATTATTACACAAATTCCCTTTAAGTAAATCTTAACATTTACCTGAAAAATAAATCCGTTCTCAAACAAAATATCCACCAAAGCTCTTTCAATGTAAACAGTATATTTGAAGTGACTTCCTAAGTGAAAACTATGAACACAATAACGATAATCGCTTGTCTCCTCTATTTATATTCTCACACCAAACACAGCCAACCAATCAGAGACGGGCACAATTATGACGTAATTGGTGTACGTACACCGTGTACGTACACCTAATTTATATTCGTACGCATCAACCAATCAGAGATGGACATGACGTAATGGTGTACGTACACCGTGTACGTACACCATATTATATAAAGCAAATTGAATCATACTATATAAAGCAAATCAAATACACAGTCAAAATGAACTCGTGTGAGCAAGTGTTCTGGGCAAAGCGCTTGAACGTAGACGAAGTTGTGCCTTGGGAAATCAGAAACCTGTGTAATCTAATGAATGCTATCTTTTCGGAAGCCGTTGACTGTCAAGTCCATAAACTTCGAAATGAAAAATGCTGCGGTTGTAAAGTCAATCAGCCAAGCCAGAAAAGACATGATTGCCTCATGATGTCCGAAGAAGAGGGATGGCTAATGCATGGACCGGAAGCAGTAAAGCGAGTGATCGAACATCAAACAGTTTCGAAACAATTCACCGAAGCTATACGCGTCATGAAACTAGACACTCATGAAGATGTCATTCAACATTTCAAAAATCTAACCAAAGACCCCGAAACAACCGCCGAATTCCTAAAAGATCTGAAGTTTAAGTCAAACCTTCCTGAATATCAAGCCATTTTGGGATATCTCAGCTACTAGAGCGAAGAACATTAAACAATTCATAGTTTAAAAACATTATATTTTTAAAAATTGTTTATTAACTAAAAGTATATTTTACAAATTATTAAAATGTTCTTGAAGTTTATCTCTGAGATAGTTCTGATATGCCTTTTGTTCATCTTGTTCCGGAACTTTTCCCCCTTTCCTCTAACATAATATATAAAGGTAGGGGGGCTACCGAAGAGGCACTCTGCAACAGGTTCCAATGGATCTGCTTTAGGATCAGACAAATCGCACAGGACTTCGATTAATGCCTGGTTGTCTCGGTATTCTTTAAATAATGATTCAATCAGCATAAATAAGATCAGGGTTCTCTTCCAAGCTCAATAAGTGTTCCGTAAAATATTTCTCAAACGGAACTTTCAAAATTTCAATAACACTGGTAAATTCACACCAGGCGGCGTAACTAGTTCCGGCTTCCTCTATAGCATCAAGACCATACATCTTCCATTTTTCAAACTCATTCAACATTAAACAGTCCTGGTCACGAACCTTACACCCGCAACAAAACAGGCCAAATTTCTTTTCAATGCTGCATGTAATGATCTTGGCATATAATTTCTATAAGACGAAGTTTTTTGCTTGAACCATTCATTATGAAAACCAAAGTGTAAATGAATTTGTACTACTCACCGATTCAAATATACCCCATGTCTTACAAACGCTCCCGCATACTCATTACTTCCGGCATACTCATTACTTCCGGTGCTCTACTCGTTCCTGCATACTAATTACTTCCGCCGCTATACTGCACTTCCGCCGCTATACAGACGGTCTAATACTACTAATGTTATCCCCGAGCCGGCGGCGCAAAGCGCCGTGCGAGGGTACTAATCCCCCCCGGCTATTTACACCCGGGGAAACGAAAGCATTAGCGAAGTCTAAAGTTCATCAATGAGCGCGGGCGTCGGTCACCAACAATGGGTGGTCATCCTCACTGATCTCAAAAATATGGCGGACTGTCATAAACAACGGACACTGATTGGTGCAATTTAAAGTTTGCATTATAACGACTGCATGACGACAGCGAAATAGCAAACATTTCTTGATTTGATGAGTTGATGATTGATAAATTTCTTGCAAATATTCTTCATTTTTGCTCGTATTTCTGCAAGATTTTGTAAATTTCAAGAAAGAAAGGGCGAAAGAATCAGCTAAAAGAAGGGAGCCGACGTTAACGAAGGCAAGTTTGTTTTAAATATTGATTTTATAATGGCTTTTAAACCCGACGACCTTTGCGTATATGAAAAAACTAAACAAGACAGCATATAATTTCAGTGTATCTTTAATATTGATTCCCTTTTTTATTATATTGAATTTTTTAAATAAAAAATAAAGCAAAGTTATTTGCAAGCGAGAATTTGAAATCATTTTATTGCAAACTCAAAGTTTATTGATAAAGCCATTTAATAGTTAAAGGCAGTTTAGTTTTATAAAGACCACTTTAAAACGTTTTGTGAATTGTTTATGGTTGAATTTTACCTTAAATTGAAGCTTGTATTACGTATAATTACATACCTAACATATATATGTTGGGAAATTGATAATTTTGTAATTAAAAGTGATATTTTTAGGCGATTTTCATTGGTAAGAATATTCTTAATTTTTTATCGTGTTACCATGACAACTACTTTAGATACTTCATGTTCGGAAAATACAACGGTTTTGTCAGCAAGGCGAGGGTTTCTGCATGCATGTATTTTCTAGTCTGATAATAATCATGATTTTTTTCTGTGTTGGTGTAATGTACTCAGGTGAATATGATTCTTGTGATGTTACTCTGAGTGTATATCCACACTGGTCAAGCTTGAAAAATATGCCTGACCACGGTGGGAATCGAACCTAATCGAACCTTCGATTCCCACCATGGTCAGATTCCCACCGGTGTCTATTCTTCTCCAGATCGTTTTCGCTGGGAAATTTATGAAGACCAATATTCCTGGAAAGGTCAGGAACGTTCGAACAACCACCAGCTACACATCCATTGGGCATATTCGCGTCCAAAAAGCCAGACAATTTCAATAGTGGAGAATTGCGGTGTAGATGTAAATACAAATTGCAAATTATTGCAAACACGAGTCACTCCTGCTATGTCATTCGGCCCAATCTCCTGAGAAATCATTTGCTCGACCAAAAGCTAATGCACCTATCAATGTTAAGCCTGAAGGGG